TATATTTGGGTCATGCAGAAATTTGTCCATCAACAGTTCCACCCCGGTTTTGTGAGTGGAGGACCTCAGCTCGGACGAAGCGCCGCGAAGCGATGAGGCACCTTTGCGAGCTCCGTCCCACGGAGCGGTAACCCTGAACGGAGAAACCTAGACTGACACAGTTCTCGCAGAGGGCCACCGGCATGCGGCCCGGCGGAAATGTGGAACGTGCAGGTCGGGATGGAACAGCACTCTCCCTCTCTCTCTGTCTCTCTCTCTCTCTCTCTCTCGCTCTGTCTATTCTATATATTTATGTGCTTGTATATTTATACATACGTACTTTGTACTCTATACTCTTTTCTATCAACTACATACTATTTACGAAAAAATAGAGATACTGTGTACGCTATGTTGTATACTACCTACCATATGCTTTACATTCTATATTTATGATGTCCTATACACTTTCCACTATTCAGCACTCTAGTCGATGCTATGCTCCCACCCGACCAGTCTCGGACTGCGGCCCCGGTGTAGGCGATGTCGGCCAGTGACTTGTGCGCCACGAGCCTGGGCGTGCTTGAGCCCGTCTAGGGGTGAGGGTTTAGGGTTTAGGGTTTAGGGTTTTGGGTTGAGGGTTTTGGTTTAGGGTTTAGGGTTTAGGGCTTAGGGTTTAGAGTTTTGGGTTTAGGGTTTAGGGTTTAGAACTTTGGGTTTAGGGTCTAGGGTCTAGTCTAGGGTCTGGGGGATAGGGGGCTTTGGGTCTAAGCTTCGGGGCTTCGGGGGGGTCTAAGGTTCCGTTTTAGGGTCTGGGGTAAGCCCTAAACCCTGAACCCTAAACCCTAAACCCTAAGCCCTAAACCCTAAGCATCACCATATCAACGGCTCTGGGCTTAGGGCGTTTAGGGGTGGGGATGAAGGGTCTGAGCACCCAGACAACCCTAAACCCCTGTAAGATCCCTTGAAGGAACCCCTATATCCCCCTAGTTGAAACTTAGAGACAGGCCCTCACAGCCTTAAGAGGGGTTCCTTTAAAGGGATCTGTAGGGGCTTAGGGTTGTAGGGTTTAGGGTGTAGGGTTGAGGGTTTAGGACTCAACCCCAAACCTTAGAGCTCAATCCGATGCCGTGGCAAAGCCCGGTTAGGGTTTAGGGTTTAGGGTACAACAGAAACCTACAGAACCCGTCCACGCCCCCATACAGAGACCGCATGCCTAAACCCTGGTCAGGGAAAAGGCACAAACCTAAGCCTTGCCCCAAAATCCGAAACTCAACAAAAAACAAGCAACCCTAAAAGCACAGAGCGCTAACCCTGAAGTCCGAAAGACGGTTGCAGCTTGGGCACAGCCCCGAGGCTACCACGCGGCGCTCGTCGGTCTTGTGGCGATCCTTCAGGGTTCATGGTTTTGGTGGTTTGGGGTCTAACTAAAGCCCTAAATCCTAATTCAGAAGGTTTTAGACTGGGCCTATAGGGAAAAGCGACTCGGTGGTTGAGGATTTAGGCAATCTTCTACGACCAAGTAGCCGCTTGGAAACAGCATTTTTCTCGCTGCTCCGTACTGAAGTCCAACCACGCTACAACGCACATATATTATTTGGGAGTCAGAAAACTAAACCCCTAAACCCTGAACCCTAAACTCCAAACCCCTAAACCCTAAACCCCTAAACCCTAAACCCTAAACCGCAAACCCCAAAACCCCAAAACTGTTTGGGAGTCTGTCTTCGAGATCTTCCTGAACTCTGAAGCCTACACTCCTCAAGCCCAAACCCCTGTAGCTTCCTGAATTCCTTCCTTGTAGGGTTTGGGTTTAGGGCTTAGGGTTCAGCCACTCTTCAAACCCTACTTCTCGAGGCCACGTTCTTGTCTTTCTTTCCTGATTTCGTTCTTTGGCCCTAAACCCTAAACCCTCAGCCGTAAAGCTCCTTGCTGTTCAATTCCGATGGAGGGGCCTGGGGGATGTGCTCACATCAAACCCTAAACCCAGCATCCCAAACCCTAAACCTTAGACACTAAGGTTTACCTTAACCCAAAAGAACCTACCTATTTAAGGACTTATACACATAAACTATAGTAAGGAACCCGGAAAAGGTAGGTTATTTGGCGTGCAGGTAGGGTTCAGGGTTTGGGGTTTAGGGTTGCAAGTTGCCCAAGCCGAAAACCCTCAACCCATAGACCCTCTATAGTATACCCCAGAAAGTTGGAAACCGGATTACGGACACCTCGTGCTGAATTTCCCTATACGCTCCTCTTAAGGATTGAGGCTACAGAGTTTCCAACTTTTGGGGTCCAACTAAAGCCCCAAAATCCTAAATTCTTAACCTATTATTAAACCTAACCATCCAAACCCAGAGCCCCAAAACCCTAAACTCTTAGCCTACTCGACCCTCTAAAACCCAAAGCCCCAAAACCCCTAAACCCTAAAGACCCTAGACTCTCCAAGCCCAAGGCCGCCCAAATCTCTAAACACTCTTGTTTCCCCAATAGCCCCGGGTAATAAGGGTACCCGCTTGTCCTACTTTTCAGTTGAAGTTTTGATCAAGCCCAACAGACATGCCAAAAAAACAGGTATGCCAAACCCCACGCCGGTCTAAACTACTAAGCCCCCAAACACAATAATTAGCCCCTAAACCCCAAACCCTGAAC